TCTCTCTGTATGATGAAAATCACTATTCTTGGAATCTTAGGTTCATTTATCATGTCGCGGTCTCCATAAATCACATACATTTTACCACATTGGATTTAATGTCTAGGATGCACATAATCAAGATGAATGCTGCTCTCATAATTATAGCTTCAAACCCGTGATTCAATGCACTGCCATAATCATCTTTGCCAAAGATCATCCCACATATACTGATAATTTTAGACAATTTGCTTAATCATTATGTTGAAAGTTATATCTCAGAAGTAAAATGCAGAGAGTCAGTCTGTATAGAATAACCACTGTATAAGATTTACTATGCTTACTTTCACTTATATATTATGAATAACATATTAAATATCACTTAATGTAACTTTTAACACTGCATTGATAATATTCCATTGCCAGAGCCAAATTACAATATCAAACATTTTATATTCCAGAGTAGATTTCACTTCTCTTCCTGCTATATTTTAAAAAGCCAGGTATATTATCTCGTCTGAATGGTTAAAAACTAGATTTATTAGTTTTAACAAATAAATTTTAATCTATATATACACATACATACATATATATTTCTCATATCTGTACAATGTGAACATAATAGTAAAATTTTGTTTTTATTTCAGAAAAATGCAAATATTTTCTTAACTACTTTGCTAATTATGGTTTTTTTAGATATTTTATAAATATTTAAATACATCTCTGCTTTTAAGAAAATATGCTGTCTTTACAATAAGTAACATGTGAAAAGTAATGAAAACTTGTACTGAATAGAAATGTAAGGATACTCATGTATAAATTCCACAAGGACATGAACTATGCCTATCTGACCAGCATTATTTTCCTGACATTCTCACAATGAATGAGAGGATGGTTACATGGAGAAATTTGTCTCACAAAGCTCTCTGCAGTCTGACCAGATTAGCTGTAGAAACAGTTACAGGGAACATTTCATTGTATACTTTCCAAAGTCATCATAAGACCCATTATCTAAATATATCATTTTTTAGAATAATTAGTTTACCACGACAGTAGTAGTAGCAGTAGTAGTTGTGGTAATACTATTGCTTACAGAGTAATTACTGTGAGTCTTCTACACACTTTAAGTGAGACAATGGTAATAATACCAATTCCTGAACACCAACACAACCAGTACAGAATATTTATATTTAACACTTTCACTTGTATCTATCTGATAATGTTAGCAAATACTGATTTACAGTAACTCATCTAAGGACAATATCTTTTTCCTTATAAGGCACATGTATGCAAATTATTGTCATGAAAACTATAGATTTCCAATTTTCCAATATTAGCAAACTAACAAGCTTGCTAGATACTATGGCTTTTAATTTATACTTAGCCTCATGTTGATTAAAGTTTAAATTTGGCAATTAGACTAAAATGTATTCGTTGGAAATGTCTACATGTCATCATCAGTAAAAATATATTTAGATGTAATATTCAAATGCCTCAGGTGTAAATCTGTGCAGCTTCGTCTATATATTTTATATTTTGATTCTTTCATAAAAGTATCTAACATATCAAGATTCTAATGTGTTTCAAATATTGCTAGGTTATACTCATTCCTTTAGTTTAAGGAAATGGTTTGAAAATGTGACTCTCAATACACAAATGGTATATAGGTTGCTTGGTGTTTTCAGTGAAGGAAGTGATAGAATAATTATTCTCATATATGTTTTATAAATTGGAAATGTAAGATTAAGATAATTACTAAAAAGCTTATATGCCACCTGAAAAGGTAATGGCACATAACAGATTTGGAGGAAAAAAGCAAAATAAGATTCTGGAAAAATAACTACAAAATTACATGCTTGACTCTTCAAAGCAATAACCTATGATATTTAGGGTAATTACTATCAAGAGTTTAGCTTACGATGGATCAAATAGATTAATACAAAGAGTATATATGGTACCTCTTGGCAAATATGTTTTAAGATAGAAAAGAAAAGTGCTTTATAACTTTTTGTTCCATTTATTATTGAGAATGTATGCTGCAGGAACAATCATGGGTTCTTTAATTCCTAATACTTTTTATCAATGTTTACGGAACCACTATGTGTGTAGAAAAAACTTAATATAGTCATAAAAGATCTTACATCTGAATACAAATGGAAAAAAACTGTACTATTTGAAACATAATTGTTAGTCAAAAATATGCTCTTTCTTTGCAATGAAGACAAAAATAGTGCAAATTACTAGTCAAAGTATCATGGCCACATTTTTTAATACCTGTTTGAATAAATGGATATATCCAAAATGTTTCTTCTAATTTAGAATGCTCTCATAGTAATGAAACACATGTTCTTAATAATATCTCAGTTAGGGGATGCAATTATAATAATTTCTTCATGATATTGATAATACAAAAAAGAAAAACAATACTTCAATTGGGCTTTTCACAGTTGGTATTTTTCAACAGATGTTCTGTATCCTAAATGGACTAAAAACTTGAGTGAACTAGAAATCATGGCCAGAATATACTGACTTTTAACCTGAAAGTAAAGCATTAAGGTTATTTAATATGACCTAAGATCCAATCTTTCAGTCTCTGAATTTAACTCCAGATATTTAACTCCATCAACGGATAATTTTTTTCACATATATGAAGAAAATAACAGTAATGACATATTGACAATATTCTACATCCAAACACTAAATTAAAAAAAGGAAAACCTTCAAAATCTGAAGTTAATTAAAATATACACTTTAAATCCATTTTTCAGTATTTCTAGATTCTCCTTACAGCTGATGATAAAATCATGATTTTTGATTCGATATCTGATGAAGTGCCAAAAGTGGTCTTTAAGTCAGAATTTTCTCCATCACTTTTCACACATATATTAATCCTGAAAAGTAGAAAAATCTAGCAGAAACACGAAAGGCCAGCTACCTTCCATTCTTGACAACATGTAATTTTTAAGGTAATATTTTCTGAGATATTAAACATATGAGCAAAGATGTGATTATGGAAATAACCCATGCTTCAAGCAATTTATTATTTACTGAATATGAATATACATGTCTTGGAGAATATCTTACACAATGGCATCTTTTGCACTATACTGAAATAATTGCTTATAAATTTAATATATTCTGTTATATTTATTATTAATATTACAAATCATTTCCAAATACCTAAAGTTGATTGCCTAAATGCACACTAATTGTTCAGTTACTGAAATGTTAAAATTGTAAAAAGTTAGGTGCAGTGGCTCATGCCTATAATCTCACTTACTCCAGAGACTGAGGAGGGAGGATGACTTGAACCCAGGAGTTCAAGGCTGCAGTGAACTATGATTGCTTCACTGCACTTAAGCCTGGGAAACACAGTGGAACCCTCAACTCTTAACAAAAAACAAGAATGAAAAAATGGGGGTATCTCATCAAGAAACTTCCATTAAATGTAAATATTATGAGTAACTTAGTAACTCACTGCAAGGTTAAGTTACATTGCAATGAATTCAATTATTTTACTATCTTCTATTTTCATTTTAAAGTACTGGTCCAACTTTGAACACAGGTAGCCAGCCTATTTCCTTGAGGAAATATGAGCCATAAAATAAGTCCCCGTGGTAAAGAAGAAAAGAGCATGAACAAACTTCACCTAAAAATTTTAAGGCTGGGATTAGTCTTGTATATACATTAGAGAGAAAAATTTATTCCGAATCACTAAAAATAATGGTTTGCATTGTGTTGTGATACGAGGTACCATTTGTAAGATATTGAGAATGGCGCTCAGCACTGTGGGAGACTTGTGATCAGAGTCTTGCCCAGGGGGCCCAAAATTCAGGGAGCCATGTTCTTGCCCTTCTTCTTTGATGCATGGTCCCATAGGATGAGGCATTAACAAGGCGAAGGAGACTATAAATATCAAGCCCGCCCTCTGTTTCTTCAGGGCCTCAAGCAAATAGAGACAATGGAAATCTAATGTTTCTTAACCAAATAATCTTGAGTCTGTTTGAAGGCCTGCACCTACCTAATCCTTCCATCTGTCCTCCTAAGGGCCTCCTGCATTACCTTCTACTAGTAAGTCATTGGCCAGATGTACCAATTTTTCCAGGATGGGGATGGATCTTGAATATGTGTGTGAGGCCTTTTGCAGAACAGGACAGAAGTGGGAATGGGAAGAGAAGACAAAGAAGGGCCTGGATCCAAGCTATCCCCACATTGCCAGATTCTAGCAGAGAAATGAAAAAATTCTGAGAATTTGAAATTTTTAAATTGGTCTTGCAGGCTATTATTAAGCTATATTTTTTACATTTTTTGAGGATAGATATTTTATTGAACATTTTTTAGTTTAATAATTTTCAAATATTTAGAAATGTATTTTATGAGCCTTTATTTCTTATTTTTACCTCCCATTCACAACAATGAGGACCTTGCAGTATTCTGACTTCATAAATGGTGGCTAATTTCCCTCAGAGTGCAAAACTGGAAGATGCCAAACCTTGGTAAGGCTTAGCCTGGGAGCCAGCACAGTGTAACTTCTGCCACATCCTATTAAAGCATATCACAGAGCCAACAGTCATTCAAGGTTAGGGGATTATATACTAAGGCACAAGTTATGGTTCATCCAGGGATACCAAAACCTTCCAGAACATGCATCTGAAGATTGATGAGTAGAATAACTTGGTCAGAAAATTAAGGAAGTCAAAACTTAAGGCATAATAATAATTAGAAGCTCATATTAACTTTTTAATCATAAGCTAAAAAGTATCCCAAATGAGGCAAGAGATGTTTCACTATGTTTTAGTTAAAGGCCAAGAAGTAGTTGAATAAAGTTGGGTTTATTGATTTTTGCAGCAGGGAATGTACTTCATGAAGAATCATGTATCATCTCAGTAAGAGAATGTTAGGAAGGATTAATTATGGAATTTGGTCTCATGTAATGTGATTTTATGGAAACTTTAAATACAGACTGAATGTTGTCAGGAGCCAGGATAATGCTACCATTGGTATTTGTACTTGTTTCCTAGAGATACTATAACAGTCTACCATAACCTGAGTGGCTTAAAAGAAATATATACTTTCACAGTTTTGGAGGCTAGAAATCTAAAGTCAAGTTATAGCCAGGACGATGCTCTCTCTGACACTCTGGGTAGGTAGTATATTTGTTTGCATCTCCTTAGCTTCTGGGGTTGGCCGTAAATAGTTGGTACCCCTGGGCTTGTAGCTGTATCATCCAAACCTCTCCACTGCCATCACTCAGTGTTCTCTTCTCCCTGGGTGTCTGTGTCCTCACATGGAAGTTTCATCTTCTACAAATGCCACCAGTCATATTGGATTCAGGGCTCAGCCTACTCCAGTATAACTGCATGTTTAATTATACCTGTGATGACAGGAAATAGGGTCCAAATTTCCAAATAAGGTTATATTCTGAGGTACTGGGGAACAGGATTTCAGTATATCTACTGGTGGCCACAATTAAACTCATAACAGTAACCTAATAATTCTTATCTAGGAGGTGGAAGGCATGAAAATAGGTTAAAGATATAATTGGGAAAGAAGTAGCACAGCAGCACTCATGACAGCCAGGATTGGAGGTAAGTGGGGTCATTTTTATGGTACGAACAATGGTTTGACTTTGTTTTTGCATATTCTCTGTATACAGGCATGACTATAAAGTAGTCCAGTTTCGGTTTGGACCTGTCACAATCACAGAGTGGCCTTGTTCTCTGCAATTATAATGTTCAGCACAAGAACACCATGGCCTAGCTGTGAGAGGCAACTTTCTGGCAACATTAATCCTACTTGATAGTGCCAAGCCAGGTCCTGGCTGTTGGTGGTTATTGTTCTATTTCTTGTTATTTGAATAAAAAAAAATGGTGGATGAGAGAATAACACTTCCAAACTGATTGAAAATTAAAAGTAAAATAAAAAGCCAAATAAAAGCACTCTACTAACATAACAAATAGAAATTTAAGGAGTCAAGATTGGAGTCTGATTTGGCATAGAGAGCAGATTATGAGTTCTACTTTTTAAATTATGAGTTGGTGGGCTGGTGGAATATTTAGATGGTGATGTTATTAAGAAGTTGAATATGTGAAATGAAGGTCTGGAGAACCATTAGAAATTTTTAAGAATGAATGAATTAACTAAAAGTGACTATGGACGGAGAAGAGAAATGAAATATCAACATAAAACTTGAAAGAATGTCTGTAGTTAGGGTTTAGAAGAAATAATGTGATACAAGTAAAAATACTTTTAGAGTTACTCTCACTAGATAGGACTATATTAGATAAGAAAAGGTAGAACCTTACAGTAAATGTGGACCAGTACTTAGGGATGTATTAAGGGAAAATGAGGTGCTTTATCAGGAAGTTAGTTCCCTAATAACAAATTTTAAAAGAACACCAAAATTGCTTCCTTTCAGTAAAGTTTCCAGGTATAAAGTAGGGATCTCAAGACTCTTTGGATCTCAAGAGTCTGTAATTCAGTTAAGGATAGGGAGAAACTAGTGATGAGGAAGAAGAAATAAGACTGTTACTGATGAGAGGTGGTTTACTGAAGCAAAAATTTGTATATATTTTTCTAGTTTTTAACCAGCATAAATATTTTTAAAGCAAAAAGATGTAGCCAGTAAAGAAAGAACAAAGATATAATCAATAAAGAGAGAAATAGAATGAAAATATAAGAAAATAGGAAGATCACAGAGCAAGTTATCTAAGTTAGGAAAAAAATAAAAGCACAGTATTCAAGTTACATTTGGCATGGATAAAGTACATCTGTCTAAGAAAAGAGTTTATAAACAGATTGTCGAACTTTTTATTTGTTGTAGATGATTTTTGGCGGGGGGGGGGGTTGTTTGTAACAAAGGCAAAGTGAAGAGTGAGAGAGGCAGAAGGAAGAAGCTGATCACACAGACAGGATGACTCCTCAGTAAAACTCCTTCAAACCAAGAACAGCTGGAAAACCTAGCTGCAGACCTGAGATAAGAAAAAGACCATGACCCTAAATGGAAACTCCCATTCTGCCAGCTCAGCTGAATAAATGCCACTCCTTTTGTGGGCATGCTTTTTTCCCGCTTTGGTGCACCTTTGTCCTTTATGGTGTGCTTTGCCCCGATTGGCCCTTGCTCTGCCTTCTCTCAATTGGTTCTCTCTCTCTTTTTTTGAGATAGAACTGTTGCCCAGGCTGAGTGCAATGGCACAATCTTGGATCACTGCAACCTCTGTCTCCAGGGTTCAAGGGATTCTCCTGCCTCAGCCTCCCTAATAGTTGGATTACAGGTGCCTACCAACATGCCCAGCTAATTTTTGTACTTTTAATAGAGACAGGGTTTCGCCATGTTGGTGAAGCTGGTCTCCAACTCTTGACCTCAGGTGATCTCCCTGCCTCAGCCTCCCAATGTGCCGGATTACAGGCGCCACTTTGCTCAGCCTCCCAATTGGTTCTTTGTACCCCTCGGCACTGTGGTGTCTCTCTCAGTGGTACATTTTGGGGTACTTTTCGATCTGAGCCTACCTCCTCTTAAGCCCATAAAAACCGCTGTGCTCAGTCTCATTTCTGGCAACCCTCTTTCAGGTCCCTTCTTGCTGCTAAGAGCTTTTCTGTTATTTAATAAATCCAAGTCTGCCTTACTCACTCTCTGGTGTCCATGTGCCTTATTCTTCTTGGTTGTGGGACAAGAACCCAGAATTCACTGAACTGCTGGAGCAAAAGAACTGTACGCTCCTGCTCACCAAGGTGTGGGTAGTGGAAGTAAAAGAGCTGTAACACTCCCTCTCACTTGACAAACTGCAGGAGTGAAAAAGCTGCTGGTGCTAATCCCTTCCACTCACCAAAGAGTGGGAGTAAAAATAGCCACAACAATAGGAACTATGTTACATAGTGAGGGTGTTTTCACAAGACAAAGCATCCTGAGTATAGAAGGACATCTGCTGGAAGTAAAGAATCTGGAGGTAATGTTAAGGACTGGGGAATAAAACCAGTGAAATTACTAAAAATGTGATGAGGCAACAAACAAAACCAAATAGAGTTTAATTAATATGGGTTTCCAGGCTGTCCAATTAGAATAGTGTCTTTCTCTAACAGAAATATGCAGAAGTTGATACATTGCATTAAAAATAATATGGATTATTGATTGGCATGGATAAAGTGCAAAGATCCATAAAACAAAAAGAAAATTACTGGAAGGTGTTGCTCATGTGGTCCTTAGAAATAAGAAGCAAGAGAAGCTTCAAAGCAAGTGAAATGTTAAAAACACAAAGTCAGAGAAGCAGTTCAGTAGTTCTTGGATAGCAATATTTTAGGAAATTATAATCTTCTTGGTAGTGGTAACCTATTTAAATATTTTTTTTAGGCCGGGCACGGTGGCTCAAGCCTGTAATCCCAGCACTTTGGGAGGCCGAGGCAGGTGGATCACGAGGTCGAGAGATCAAGACCATCCTGCTCAACATGGTGAAACCCCGTCTCTACTAAAGATACAAAAAATTAGCTGGGCATGGTGGCGCATGCCTGTAATCCCAGCTACTCAGGAGACTGAGGCAGGAGAATTGCCTGAACCCAGGAGGCGGAGGTTGTGGTGAGCCGAGATCGCGCCATTGCACTCCAGCCTGGGTAACAAGAGTGAAACTCCGTCTCAAAAAAAAAAAAATATTTTTTTTAATATTCAGAGGGTTAAGTTGATATTTATTGAAAATAGTGTTTATATTTAATAGCACACTGAAAAAGCTCAAATAATTAATTTCCTTACATAGAAAATAATAAAGTACATTTAAGACAATATTTCAAGTTCTTAGTGTAACTTATTAAATTGTTTTAAATCAGGAACATGGCTATTCCATTAGGGAAATTAAATATTCATTGTTCTAATGAGCTGAAAATCAAGATTAGTATTATTTTAAATTATTGGCAATGTACCTCTGTTTGCTCAAACAAAACTTAACCAATTCATTAATCTTTATTTATTTTCTTGGTTAAAAAGCAGGAACTGCATGCATTTTAAATAACTGATAAATAGATTTTTTTTTCCCTCTGGAGAACTATACTTAGAAATAAAGGAAATGCGTATAAATTGTGCAAAATCCCAAAGCATATGTTGGGCAAAAATTACCTTAAATTTTTTGAAGTAAACATTGTATAATTACTTGATGGTCAATTAAATTTGATTGAAATGTATTGGTCAGCTTCATGTGGTACAAACTAAAGAATATTTGGAATTAATCATGCACAAGTTCTGTTTCTTTCACTTTCTAGTTACGTAACTGTGGACATTATTTAAACTTTCCGATATTCAGTGTCTTTCTCTCTAAAATAATAACAGTATTTATTTTTTAGAGCTGTTGAGATGATTAAATTGTCTCATGTAATAAATATGTGAACATGCCAAATATGGTGTCTTTTACATACCAGGTAATTTTTTAAAGTTATTCAATTTCTTTCTTTTCCTCATTTATCCAAAACACTTAATATTATTACCCTTTTCTTTAAAGCAAGAGTTGAACAAGCAAGACATAGTCTGTCAAGCTGCACAGCGAACATCTTATTTGTCACAGATGACTTTTGGGGGTTGTTTGTAACAAAGGCAAAGTGAAGAGTGAGAGAGGAGGAAGGAAGAAACTGGTCCAGCAGACATTAGGATGGCTTCTCAGTAATATTCCTTCAAACCAAGAACAGCCTGAAAACTTAACTGCAGGTCCTGGATAAGAAAAAGCCCATGTCCCTAAATGGAAATTCCCATTCTGCCAGTGTAAATGGATCATGCTTCACATTGTTTAAATGAAAATAGAACTTTTTGTGCAAAGCGTAATTCAAATGTTGACACTATTGATAAAGAAAAAGATGAGGATAAATAAGAATAATGTAAATCTTTGCCGGTGACGTCCCTGTCCAAAGTTAATTTTAAGTGGCAATGGATGAAGTTCACAGTGATGTCAAGTATCTCCTTTTCGTTGTTAGTTAACCAAGAAAGAATACTTACCATACCCGAATATTAACACCAGAAGGATTAGCTTAATGGCTCTAGCCTGAAGGCTGTTGTTGGAAAAAAAAAAATGGCTAGTTCTGTATTTTTACAGCAATAACGCCCTTTAGGGTGCTTTTTTAAAAACTGAGAGATGACATTTTTTGAATAGATTTTCTAAGCCTCGCATCCTGAATTACTCAAAAGCAACTAATTTTTAAACTCTTTGAAACTTAAAAGAGACACAAAAAATGTGAGTCTCATGCAACAAGCCTCTAAACTAGCTCTAACTTGTGTTTCAGAAATATGATCACTTGATAATCCTGAAGACCAACTGGGGAAAGAATGGTGGAAAGGGAAATACTCCATTAGTACAGATATTTCTCTAATTTCTTGGTTTATAATCCACTGCACTTCCAAAATTAGAATATTGGGAATTAAAGATGTTTAGTATAAAATTATAAAAATGTCAGTGTCATATTTGTCCTCATTGATGTTAACTTAGGTGTTGTTTGTTCTTTTTTTTTTTTTTTGAGACTGAGTTTCGCTCGTTACCCAGGCTGGAGTGCAATGGCGCGATCTCTGCTCACCGCAACCTCCGCCTCCCAGGTTCAGGCAATTCTTCTGCCTCAGCCTCCTGAGTAGCTGGGATTACAGGCACGCGCCACCGTGCCCGGCTAATTTTTTGTATTTTAGGGAAAGACGGGGTTTCACCATGTTGAGCAGGATGGTCTCGATCTGTTGACCTCGTGATCCACCTGCCTCGGCCTCCCAAAGTGCTGGGATTACAGGCGTGAGCCACCGCGCCCGACCCTGATGTTGTTCATTCTTAACAAAATGAAAGTTTCTTAGAATGCAGGCATTTCATTGAAACTGTGTTTTCAATATGTAAAGTGTTTGAATGATTTTGAATTAGCTAGTGTTGTGAATAACATTAATTTTTGATAAATTTGCTAAATAATTTCTCTAGCTATTTAGATTATTAATGCCTATAAAATAAAAATGGGCAGAGATCCTGTTTAATTTTTAGTTAATTTCCAGTATGCAAAAATATTAGTTTAAATTTATTTCCTAAATAATTTTCTGAATGAGAATGTGTAAAGATCTTAAGCATAAATTTTACATAACAGAAAGTTGCCAACCTACAAAAAGTTGCATATGTAATACCTGAATGTCTTGTTAACACGTACTCTCCTGAATTTACTTAAACTGCCAGTTATCCTTGATAAATTCAACTGTGCTTGAAGTAGTTCCCTAGGCTACATTACTTTTAAACCATTGGCTTCTGTGGACTGGAAACCATTAACTAATTTTTGGTTTGGCCCTCCTCTTATCCCATATTCCTGTGCCTAATCACCGTTCTTATAATCACCAGACTGACTATTTTACATAAAATTTCTGTTTAACAATAGAGGAAAGGTGACCTGTTTCTCAGATTTACTCTCCTGCTAGCATTAGATGAAGTTTTTTTTTTTTATTTTCTTCTCTATATTCGGGGAATCTTAATCTAGGACTCTCAAAAAAAGAAAAAAAAGAAAGAAAGAAAAGTTTCTAGAGAATCAGCAGAGTTTGGAAGAATCAGATGAGAAAAACTCTGATGTGTTTTCACAAAAAGGATATTATAATAAATATCATTGATCCAGATAAATAAGTATTGTGCATTTTATTCAATAGGTACAATTGGCACCCCTGGAATATTACATTTTTTCAAAAACTTTTTAATCTCGAATATTACATTAATTTTGTACTTATTTCATCAAAACTTGGAATTCTGTGATTATACAGTTAAGTTATAGGTTTTATATTTACACCTTGTCATGTCTTTAAATTATCACTGCTACTTTTATGGAGTAATGGTAATATTGACATTTCATGTAAATTTATGGAGTAAAGGTAATATTGATGTTCCCATGCATTTTTAGAAAACTTTACTGTCAATTCAGTTATCTCTACACATCTTTACCTAAGACTCACTTTCTCTCTTCTGCCAGCTATCAGCTTTAACAGGAACTTCTGTATACTGTTATAGTAGCATCAGTCACATTGCACTTTAATTGTCTATCTTCCCCAGTAAGGTGTAAGACTCTTGAGAGCAAGGAGTATGTCTTGTTCACCTTTATTTCTTTAGTGACGAACACAGTATCGGGACAATATTCTTGTTTCTTGAGTAGATAAGTTAGTAAAAGAAAAGACTAATATTTAGGAAACTTTTCTACTAAATCTAACTTGACTTGGATCTTTCAGTCATTTAATGAATATATTTCGATGAACAAAAAGCACTTATTCCATGGGTGGTCTGGAATTGAAAATTCTCTGCTTATACATATGTTTTACTTTCTATTATAATTGAATTTGGTCTTTACCTTTTATAAGTTTATATAATTCAATTGTTTTGGCTCTTAAAAATATTTGAACTTAGCCATCTGTTTTTCAAGCTCATTTAATGTTCCAAATTGCAAGATTTCAGTAAGAGTTCTGCAAATGAAGCAGTGGTAACCAATTATTTAAATTAAATGAGAAGTGAGAATGCATCATTTCCTCTTAGGCCTCCATTAGGTCTTGGCCCTCTGTTTCTAATAGAGTGGGAAGGATGTGTAAAATGCTGAAGATGGAGGAGGTAAACGTCACACACTGCAATTATTCATTGAAACAGCTCACTAATTTAGAATGAGAATCTCTTTATGTCTCAATTCTTAACTACTTACTACAAGCCTCCAAAGGATGTTCTGAGCTACTGTTAAATAGGGTAATAATTGCCATGACTGTAGTGGAAAAAGAAGTAGGAACATCAATAAGTGTTCTTCAATATTCAATGTATATCATTGTATTTCACATTTCAAATATTATTGTGCAGTTTTGCAACCCCTTGTCTACATACTTAGGTCTGTAAATAGTGTAAATCATATTGATTACCACAAGACATAGACAGAGAAGGTTGTCTCCTGCTTGACTAGTGTTTTTGTTTCTTTTGCTGCTGTAAAAATGAAGAGTAGACTTAGTAGCTTAAAACAGCATGATTTTTCGCCGACAGTTCTGGAGGTCGTAAGTCTACGGAGATAACAGGGCTGCCTTCCTTCTAGAGGCTTCAGGGGAGAAGCTATTTCCTTGTTGAGAGTGAAGGAGAAGGTACACATTTTGATAAAGAAAACCAATAGCTAGGATCATTGTGAGAAACTGAATGCTTTTCCACTAAGATGGGGAAAATGGCAATGAATCCTTCTCTCATAACATTTATTCAACATCATATTAAAAGCGATGCAAGTGTAACCAAAGAAACAAAACAAATGGTATTCAGGTTAAGAAGTCAGAAATAAATTTCCATTCATAAATGCCATGACTGTGCGGAACACCTCAAAGAATTTGAAAAAAATAATTCTAAGAATTTAGTACCAAAGAATGCAAGACACGTTAATATAAACATGCCAGCTGCTCCCAAGTATACCAGTCATTAATCAAATTTGAAATTAAAAACATACCATTTACAATAGCACCCAGAAAAATGAATTATTTAGCTGTAAATCTAACAAAATACGCACAATATTTGTATCCCCAAAAGGTTAAAACACTAATAAAAATAATCTAAGAGGCTCTAACTAAATGGAAAGGTTTCCTACCTTCATGGATCAGAGACTCATTATTATAATAATTATTATTTTACTTTTTTTTTTGAGATGAAGTCTTGCTCTGTTGTCCAGGCTGGAGTGTAGTAGCCTAATCTCGGCTCACTGCAACCCTCGCCTCCTGGGTTCAAGTGATTCTCCTGTCTCAGCCTCCCGAGTAGCTGTGATTACAAGTGCCCACTGTCACACCTAATTTTTTTTTTTTTTTTGTATTTTTGTAAAGACAGGGTTTTTCTATTTTGGCCAGGCTAATCATGAACTCCTGACCTCAAGTGATCCAACCTGAGGTGATCTACCCACCTCAGCCGCCCAAAGTTCTGGGATTACCGGCCTGAGCCACCGTGCCTAGCAGACTAAATATTATCAAGATATTGACATGGTTTGGTTATCTGACCGCATCCAAATTTCATGTTGAATTATAATCCCCATGCTGGAGGAGGGGTGGGTTTGGTGGGAAGTGTTTGGATCACAGAGGTGGATCCCTCATGGCTTGGTGCTGTCTTCATGATAGTGAGTTCTCCTGAGATTGTTTAAAATGTGAGATTTTTTAAAATCTGTCTCTCTGTCTCTCTCTCCTCTCTCTCTCTCTCTGTCTCTCTGACTCACTCTCTCTTTTCCTCTCTCTCTCTCACTCCTGCTTTAGCTATGTGATGTGCCAGCTCACCCTTTGCCTTCTGCCATGATTCTAAGCTTCCTGATTCCTCATCAGAAGCCAAGCAGATGCCCAGTGCCATGCTTCCTGCACAGCCTGCAGAACCATGAGCCAATAAAATTTTTCTTTATGAATTACTCAGTCTGAGGTATTTCCTTATAGCAATGCAAGAATGGCTAATACAGATGTCAAGTCTTCCCAATTTGATCCTGAAAGTCAAAGTGCTTAGTTAGTGTCTTCACAAAGGATTCTCTTTAGATACACAACCCACATCCTCTGAAGGCTTTACTTACCTCAAGTTAATCATTTGTTTTACCAAAATCAGGCTTTTTTTTTTTTTAACAACTTCTAACATATGAAATCAGTAATTACTATCTCTGCACACAGTTCGAAGTCGGGATCTATTCTACTCACAAACATTTTCCAAATTTGTAGTAATTTCCAGTTGATCAGGGTGTCTTTCAGGGCACCAGTTGATGGCAGTGGGGAAAGGAGAAAGCAAAAGCCCTGAAAGCCAAGATGGACTCAGATTCTCTCAGTAAGGGATCCTGTGTGTTGATGCCACCAATGTGTACTGTCAGCATGCTTATTTTATTAGTAATCTATGGTATTTCTTGGAAACAAAACATATGCGCACATCTTACAAACAATATAATTTCTGGGTTGGTTACAACTAAATAAATCCTGAAGATTCAAATAATATCTCAACAGTCTTACATTTATTAATTTGAATGTCTTCCTTTCTCTGGAATCAATAGGTACTATTATTATGCAGAATAATGATTGGTTTCTCACCCTGTTCAGGGCTTACATGAATAAGGATGCCTTACTACTCAGTAACTGCTTCTTGATTACTAAAAAAATCCAATTTTAATAAGAACTTAATAAATTATTTCTGTATAAATTCCTTTTCTAAATCATTATCTGTTGTCAAACAAAGGTGATAGTCTGTATTGCCAGCTTTATTATTTTCATTGACATCATTATTACCAGGTGAAGTTTAATAAATTTTTTATAAGAAAAATGCCTAAATTAGTTAAAGACCACAATAATCACATCAGTTGGCTTTTCTTTGAAGGTGTAAATATTGCATTTTTGCTTACATTTTAAAATTTAAATACCCAGATTAATTCTAAAAAATATCA